TTCAAATTGTTTTGTACAGAGTTTAGGTATTAGAATGTTGTTTGTCATTTTTATGCATAGTGACATGTAATGCTTGGTATTTTTATGTGATATTTAGTAGGGATGCACCGATACCACTTTTTCCAGTACTCGCCCGATACCGATACTTTTATTTTTGGTACCTGCCGATACCGATATTTTTATTGCATTTGTACCTTTTTTAAATATTGGGTACAGAAACCAAAAGAGTATGTATAATGTTAGTTGGTTAACTTCATTTATCAAATAGATACAGTCAAACCAAAATTTATTCAGACACAGTTTATTCGCTATAGTTTAGAGCTACACAAAACTCAATTTTGCTAAGCACAGTATCACAGACTCTTGGCTTTTTGTTTTCTCTCACAATGTGAAAAACATTAGTCATTGCTGTACTGTGATCTAGTCACACAGTTTAATGAGCAATTTCCCATGAATGGTTTCACTGGAATTACTAATTTCTCTCTCTAAATCCTGTGTCTTTCCCCCAGTTTGTTTTTGTGGGCTGAAATTGAATTTTCTCCCCGGTCCTTCACTTGTAATCCCTATTAGCACCCTTTACTGTGGTTAATGTTTCTAAAGTGGAGAAACCCCAGTAGACCAGTTCATTTATTTATTTTATTATTTTCATTATTTTGGGCATTTTTGCCTTTTATTTATGACATCAGAGAGCAGACAGAATAGTAAAGGTCTGTGCCTGTGATGCAGTTATTCTTATATGTCCTGAACATGTGCACAGCTACGTCATATTTAACCTGTTGTAATGCATTTTGAATTATTAATTGTTTTTTAAATTGCCAAATGGCAGAAAATTCTTATTTGATGCAGCCTCTTGTTGCTGTAATCTCATGTATCTGGACTTTTGACCTATTGGCATAAAGTCTGAAAAGCATTACAGCTTTTTCTAACTTAGAACTACCCACTTAGATGATAATAAGATGATAAAAACTTTTTTTTTAGGTAAATATGAAATCATCCTCATGCACTGGATATGTGATGGATATGTCTTATTTAATTATGTAAATAGATTTGATGCTTGCAAACTTCAATAAGTCCAGCAAAAACAAAATATGTTGTAGGGTTTACTTTGAAACAGTTTTCACTCAGAAATTGCTAGTAAATTTCACAAATAATTACAAAGGAACTGAAAGTAACAGAATTAAAGATGACATTTTCAAGCAGAAAGACTGAAATAAGTTTTCTTGTCAAATGTATGAATATTTTACAACTTCGAAAAAATATTTTTTACAGTGTACTTCATCCTTGAAAGGGCCCAGAACACCGGAGTAGGACACAACTTTATTTTCTTTATCTAATACTGTAACTTCATAGGGCTTTTGCTGAATGTTACACACTGCACATACACAAACCACACTCCAAAGGAGTGTGTATGTCTGTCATATCTATGTTCCAAGTCACTCAAGTCAGCAGCATTCACATTCTCATTCTGTTGTGTAACCTGCCCTGTCCTCTTAGGTTTCTAGATGACATAAACAATCTCATTCAGACTATGTTTGTATTTGTGATGTCAGACTTTGCCATTTTGAGCCGATGCACTAGGGATATGTGTGTCTGTTTTCATCTCTCAGGCCTGTGCTCACTCAGGTGTGTGTGTGTTGTCACAGTGATGAATGTCTGGCCCAGCTAGCGTGGGCAGGAGCCTTTGCCGTTGCCACTGTGATGGACGAGGGCCACCAGAGCAGTGGTGTTACTGCTGTGCCAGTCATAACCTTGAGCTCAACACACACACACTCTCTCTGACTGCTGGTGAGACCCCCTCAGAGACATCAGATGCCAGAGGTTTTTGGCAAGCTTTTGACTGCTCTAACACCATGCTGCTCCATTCTGTTTGACATTACATTTTAAGTCATTTAAATATCTTTTAATGGTTGCACCTGCATACATTAGCAGGGGAAAAAATGTATCACAGTTTCCACAAAAATATTCAGCGACACAACTGTTTTCATTGACAATAATGAGAAATGTTTCTTGAGCGCCAAATCAGTATATTATAATGATTTCTGAAGGATCATGTGACACTGAAGCCTGGAGTAAAGATGTTGAAAATTCAGCTTTGCCATCAAAAGAATAAATTACATTTTAAAATATGTTAAAAGAGAAAACTGGTATTTTAAATTGTAATGAAATTTCACAATATTTTTGTTTTTACTGTATATGTGATCATATAAATGCAGCCCTGGTGAGCATAAGAGACACATATACAGTGTTTTTTAAAGCCTTGCAAAACGGCAATAGTAACTTATTAAGAACATTTTGGTGAAAGAAATTTTTTCCTTTTTTAATGTTTATGTCCCATTAAAATGTAATGATTTAAAAGGGGAGATGTAAATCGAATGGTATTCCAATAAAAAAGAGAAAAACATTTTTCTCAAAAAAATTTTTTTTTAGTATATATATTTATATATACAGTGGGTACGGAAAGTATTCAGACCCCCTTAAATTTTTCACTCTTTGTTATATTGCAGCCATTTGCTAAAATCATTTAAGTTAATTTTTTTTCCTCATTAATGTACACACAGCACCCCATATTGACAGAAAAACACAGAATTGTTAGGGGGTCTGAATACTTTCCGTACCCACTGTACCATTAATTTTGCTTTAGATCTAAGAAGAGTTCACTATACTGTTAATTATATCATTAGCAAGTCATGGGGACACATACTAAACAAATGGCACTGTTTCCTAAGAGTGTTCTCGCTATTGTGAATCATATAAAAGTGTGTTCCTGATGCCTGTGTGGGTCAGAAAATACAAAGAGTGACGGGATGACAGTGGCCAATGTTTCTTTTTGTCTTTTGATGGCTTGCTGTTCCCTTTAAAATGGCTGTCTAAGCAGATTCCCTCTTCCCTTATGCAGCGCACAAAGAGACACACACACAAACACACTTCAAAGAACTCTATAGGTACAGTTGGACGGGGACAATGACAGAAGTTTGGTACTGCACTCTGGAGAGAAAGATGGAGTCACAGAGGAGCAGCTTTCAGGTTTGTTTTTTGTCAACTGCAGCATGCTGGGCAGCCTCCATGTAATGGACTGGAATATATAAATGTTGTTCCAGACCTGTATGACGTTCTTTCTTCTGTGGATGACAAAAGACAATATTTTGAAAATGCCAGTGGTTTATTCTGTCCATTCAATGTTCAATGTTATTTTAGACCCCAATGACAAAAACATTTGAAACCTTCTTCAAAGTATCTTGTCTTGTCTTCCACACAAGAATGTCATACAGATTTGGAATGACATTAATTTTTTGGGTGAACTTTGGGTGAAACGGCTTCCTTTTGGACATGCAGTATATATCCCCTACTTTTACAAACACATTTACTCTCTGGGCTCGGGGTGAATGAAGTATTTGTAGTGAAGGATTATGTTCTACAAATTGGTTTTGAATTTTTAGGGCTTGTCTGATTGCATAACGATTCACTGGAGCCTCAGGGTGTGATCCGTGATGCCGTGTAATTATGTTACAGTGACCTCTCCTTTATCAAAGCATATCACATGCTGCTCACCTCCCATAGGAACATCATCCTTCCTTCCCTTTCATGTCTTCCTCATCTCTCCTCTTTTCTCATTGCATTCCTAGTTGGCTAATAAAAGATTCATTTCCAGTTCATTAATGAAGCCAGATGGCTGGATTAAAGAAACCCTGTTAAAGAATGGAATTTTCACCCCCTGTTAAGTCAAAGGTCAAATCTAGGATTCTGTTTGAACAGTTTTTGGAATAATCTCTCTAAATCATCTGCTAATGTGGTATAGTGCGACTACCATAGTCAAGTGTCTTATTAGTATTCACCTTTCATTGCTTGAGATGTTTGCTCTTAACAGAGGTCATGGAAAATCATAGAAAAATAGATTTTCTTGCTCTTTTGATATAAAAATAGCTTGATGTACTATGGAGAAATACTCATGTTCACAATGCAGAGCTTCCCAGCCAGTCCGCCAAGACCCTTTTTGGAAATTAAGCTGTAAAGATAGGTAATTCGTGATTATGTTTTCTTGAATATATTAACATATGTTTAAGTGAAAATGAAAGTGGTGTCCCATACTTGGAATTTGTGCTCTGCAATTTAACCCATCCAAGTGCACACACACACAGCAGTGAATATTGAACACACACACACACACACACACACACACCGTGAACACACACCCCGAGCAGTGGGCAGCGGGCAGCCATTTCTGCGCAGTGCCCAGGGAGCAATTGGGGGTTCGGTGCCTTGCTCAAGGGCACCTCAGTCGTGGCTATTGAAGGTGGAAGAGAGCGCTGTTAATTTACTCCCTCATCTACAATTCCTGCCGGTACTGAGACCCGCGACCTTTGGGTTACAAGTCCGACTCTCTAACCATTAGGCCACGACTGTGTCATGTGTTATATGTGCCCATGTTTACATATCGAAGGCTATTTAGTGTTTAGTAATTTAGCGGTGATGTTGATCCTTGTATCACATGCAAAGAGTTCAGCCAGTCATAACAGAGGTCATTTAAAGATGTCATAAATATATGGTAGCAAAACATTCTTTTTTTTTAATGATGTTCTACGATATTTCTTTCCGAAGGGCAGAGAGGCTTTTTTGGTGCAAGAAACCATTACTGTATCCCTGGACTTCAGGGGAAAGGATGTGAGAATATGTCCACTCTAAGGTCTCTTTGGAAAACCTGTAGTGCTTTATTTTGGTGTGAAGATGATAAAGTGTCTGTGTTTGTAACTTTTTCCGGTAGCAGGCATGTCTACAATAAACTCTTACTCACAACTTTGAGGCTTGTATAGATGTAATATATGAATTTCTTGAGTATGGTGTTGAAAACCAGCTGTCATACATACAGTAAGGTGTAACTGTCTTCTGTATGGTTTAACCCACGGTGTCTCGTTGTAGGTGTGAAATATCGCTGGCAGCTTCTCAAGTGTTTGCTTGTACCTGTGTTTGCGTGTAACACACTGTGTGTGTTTTGTGTGTTTCAGGTGTGAAGATGAGGAAGTTTGCGTACTGTAAGGTGGTGCTGGCCACCTCTCTGGTGTGGGTGATGCTAGACATGTTCATCCTCCTCTACTTCAGCGAATGCAACAAATGTGACGACAAAAAAGATAGAGGATTGCCGGGGAGAGAGAGTGAGTACATGCCTACATACAGTTGTGCTGTATATCGTATAGTTATCACATAGTTTTCGGTTTAATAATAAATACGCCCTAACACTTCAATTTACAGACACATTTTGGCCATTTTACTTCTGAAATGTTTTCTTCATGAAATATTGTTCAAACTTTATTTTTTTTATATTGTTGTAACAATAATTGTAATAATAAAAAAAAAATTTAAGTTGCAATGATAAATTCTTTGTAAGCGGCCTTCTCAGTACAGGTTTTGCCAGATTTTCCTGTTTTTTTTTTTCTTTTCCTATTTTTGTTTATTCTCTTTTTATATAATCAGTCTTTTTTTAATATTTGGTCAACACAAGAATCGACAAATAAAATATACACACGTTTAATATAAAAATAAGGACATACATAGGAATAGACTTGTGTTGTTTTTACAGTTTATAAAAAGCTGACTGACATGAAATCCAAACCTTACCTCTAAAATAACTTGCATTTTTACAATTACTATAAATACATTATTTTTTAAGGGATGGGAGTCATAATTCATTTAAAGATTCTGATTCTAAATCAGAATTTGGTATGCATTTGGTAATGCATATTCTTGCTTTTGAGGAAGTACCAAATAATTGATCATTGATCTTGTTTGTACACTGAACAAAATTATAAACGCAACACTTTTGTTTTTGCCACTAGTTTTTTTTTTTTTTAATAAAAAAAAGATAAATAGATAAAGAAGAATTAAAATAGAATAGAAAGTGTTAGAGTTAGAGGGTCAAATAAAGGTGGAACAGATGTGTTTTTAGTCGTTTCTTGAAGATGGCTAAGGACTCAGCTGCTCGGATTGAGTTGGGCAGGTCATTCCACCAGGAGGGAACAGTTAATGAAAAAGTCTGTGAAAGTGATTTTGTGCCTCTTTGAGATGGCACAATAATGCGTTGTTCACTTGCAGAACGCAAGCTTCTAGAGGGCACATAACTCTGAAGTAATGAATTTAGGTAAAGGGGTGCAGAGCCAGTGGTGGTTTATTTATAAAATATTAAAACTAAAAATACTAAGCAAATCCACTGCTATTTTTCATATCATTTTTAAAGTACTATTTATTATATAAAACTGTTTAGTGAGTATGTTTAACTACACATTACATTATGTTACACATTATGAATCACTAATTATACCAATTCAAGGCTGAAGCTTAAGTAGCTGCATCGTAACACAGTAACAGATCTTGTTCTTTATTTCAAGTCGATATGACCAGTATTCATCTCTGGTTATTGTGGAGAAAATGAAAACGTCTCTAAATAAAAACTGTTTCTCGATTCACAACCCTATTATTTACTGTCTGAATCTTTTTTCCAATTTGAAGACTGGATGGTCCTAAAAGGAGGTTTTGTCAGATTTATCTAGCCTCTTGGGACAGTTTTATCCCCAAAGTATACTGTAGCTAAATAACTCCAAACACACATACAGCTGATACAGGAAACACTCGACAACACACACAAAAGTATAAAGACTATTTCCACTAGATGTATGTGTCTGATGGTGTTATATTGTGAAATACGGGCAGGTATTGAACTGTGTATATTTCTGTGGGAGAGGAAAAGAGTGTAGAAATATAATCTGATCATTTTAGAGCTGTATTGACTGTACATCATCTGAAGGATACAACCACATTCCAGCTGTGCTTAGCTTAGAGGATGGAGAGAACGAAGAATGGAAGAAATCTAGAGCAGTGGTTATCAACTGGTGGGTCCATTCTGATCTGTTCTGATGTAGTCATGGGCAGTAGGTGAAAAACAAAGCTAAATGCAAATAAATCAATTCAGCTTAGCATATAAATGGAGAAGAAAATGCTTCCTATTTTTTATGTAGTTTATGTCAATGACAATCAAACGCTATGGTTTTTGTTTTTTTATTCCATTGTAATAATGATAAATGACAATATTTGATTTTAAGGACATTTAGTTGAGTTTTTATAAGTTAAACAATTATATTAGTGATTAATCTCAATATAAAGGTAAAATATGAATCTGAAAGCAAAACCAGTCGGGAACCGCTGCTTTAGAGACTATAAAAAGGAGCAGAAAGAAGATCTAGAATTCGTAAGGAACAGTCACAGAGAAAAAGCATGTGGATGGCGATGCAGTGTGAAAGCATATCGTCTCATAAAGCTTTCTTTTGTCACTAACTGACCCCTCTACAGCCCCCCGCCCCCAGTCAGGTCACGGTTTGTTCTCTGTTGGTCACTCATGAGCTGCTTTACTTTGGCCATCATCTCATAGAACAATAACCCTAAAATAATCTGCTCACCACATTAATAAAGCACATTTTCTGCTGCTTGTGCTTGTGTCCTTAGTGATGATTATACGATTTTCACCCCCCAGAATCCCTCAGGAAAGTCATTGGATTTTGCTGAGCAGGGAAACAGGACAAAGTTGCCTTGTAATGCACTCAGTCCGAACAGCTAAATCCTGCCCCCTCAACACGCATGCAGCTCACCCGTACATACACACACAGTGTACGCAAACGTGCGACACAGGGCTTAAAAACAGGCAGTTTGCCTCTTAGAGCAGATGTAATCTCACACTGTTGCAAATCTGACCTTAATCTCACCAAAGCATGCTTTTTGAATTAATGATCAAAGCTCAGTGCTTATCTACCCACACAAAATCCACAAAAACACACACTTCACACACACACGGCACAATAAACAATTGTGCACAGACATCTAGGCCACAAATTATTTTCGGTGGGCAGGATGTATATAAAAGTTTGTATGTACTTTTTAGTGCTGTCAAACGATTAATCGCAATTAATCGCATCCAAAATAAAAGATTTTGTTGGCATAATATATGTGTGTGTTCTGAGTATATTTATTATGTATATATAAATACACACACATACAGTATATATTTTGAAAATATTTACATGTATTAACATGTCTGTATTTATATTCATATAATTTATATTTAAAAAATATATTTAATATATAAACATAACATATTTTTCTGAAATATATACATGCATGTGTGTGCATTTATATATACATAATAAATATGCACAGCACACATACATATATTATGTAAACAAAAACATTTCTTTTGGATGGGATTACTTTTACACATTTGTGGTTGCATTTTCAACATTCTGAACAATTCTAGCACAAATATTATGATTATTGTTTTGTTTTTTTAGTTTGCGTACTTGTTTGACAATGAGAGTACAGTGTCACTGAAGAGCGTGACTGGGATGAAATATGAAACGTGATATGTAAAAATCAACATAAATATCCCTTTGGAACAGGATATTTTTATTGTGCCATTTCCAATTTTGCTAAAGTGTGACAGTAATATTTCATTATGTGTATTACATAAAATGTGAGCTGTGCAAAATATCCTTAGAAAGACAAATGACTCTAGTATATTATTATAAAAATGTTCAAAATGTCATTTGCAGCACTGTCATTTCCATCACAGAAAACATAATTTGTGATGTGGTGGAAGTGCTACTGTGTGTTGTGGGTTTTCATTAATAAATGCCAAAAATAACAAAATTCTCCTGTGATGAATCCACTTTTGGACAGATGAAATAAACTAGTGAGAGCATGATGGGTTTATTGTCTAAAAGTCCACCGGGCCCAAAATTGGCAATAGTTGGAGAAACGCCCATACTTACTCAATCGAAAGCCAAGGGAACAATCTCGAATCCATGTGTGTTTGTGTTCCAGCTGTGGTTCAAAGGCCTCATGACGGCCCAGGGGAGATGGGAAAGCCAGTGGTTATCGCTAAAGACCAACAGGAGAGGATGAAGGAAATGTTTAAGATAAACCAGTTTAACCTGATGGCCAGTGAGATGATTGCACTCAACCGCTCTTTACCGGACGTGCGTCTCGAGGGGTGAGTGTCTGCTTATTTATGATTGCTTCCTTTAAAGTGAGTTTGTTTTTGTTTAATAGATCAATTTTATGCCTGTAACTGACCAAATGAATATTTTGAAATGGAGCTTATGTTTTGAGCTGTGAGGGCTGGTGTTTGGCTTTTTGACTTTAGAGAAACTGATAGACATATCGTGGAGTGAGTGTGTGTGTGTGTGCTTTTTGCCGAGTAAAATGTGTGTATGGCAGGGAGTGAAATGTAAACATTGATCCGTGAAATGTGTTTATTTTCTGCCCCTCAGATTAATTACCGGAGTGGTATTTTTTTCTCAGCTCTGTTTGAAGCAATAGAATCAACATTTTCAATTAAAAGATAAGAGTGTGTCAATTACATAGTCACAGTCATGACCTAACTTCACACACACACAGCATCACAGCCACAACTATCACCTTCACACGAATATGATCTTCTAACTCTAACTAAGAACATATGTAATGCGCAAACTTAGTAAACCAAAGGGTCGAGGGGAAACTGGTTGAAATCTGAGTGAGAATGAAAGTGCTGAACTCTTCTTCTTAAAGCAGGATGTGGTCAGCTCTCTTTTCAGCTGTTTTCCATCTTTGGTTTTGTAAATGTGAAGATTAAGCAGCATTTGGGCACACTGTACTAATTGTACGTTGTACTAGCAGTCAAACGTTTGGACACACCTACTCTTTCTATGTTATTACAGTTTTTCACATTATAGAATAATAGTAAAGTAGGGCTGTCAAAATGACTGAAAAACTAAATTCGAATTTTCCACTTAAATATGATCAATATTCGAATTATATTCTAATTTAAAAGGCATAATTTCAGTTAGGGGGGAAAAAAGCTTTTGGCTTCTCTCCTGAGGCTACAAGAGGGCGCATCGAGCAAAATATTATGCACGTTTCTTCAAAGCGTAATAAAATAACACGACTATCTTTGAAAAAAGTGCATAATGTTTAAAATAATGTTTATAAACCATATATAATTAATAAAGTTGCTTAAACAATTAGAAAAAAAACAGCACCATGCATGTATGTATAGAGTTTGTATGGTTTGTTGTTTTGCAGAGTTACGGGATATGAATTTCTGCTCATCAAAATTATTACACAATTATTCAGAAATTTGGGGTCAGTAAGATTCCATTTTACTTTATAAGAATTTAATATTTTCATTCAACAAGGATGCAATAAATTGATAAAAAGAGTAATTCCATTTATAATGTTACAAAAGATTTCTATAAAAAGTTAACTAAATATAAACTACATTTTAAAGTCTATTAAAATAGAAAAGTGCTCTTTTTAATTGTAATTATATTTCACAATGTTGCTGTTTTTTCTGTATTTTGATCAAATTAATGCAGCCTTGGTGAGCATAAGAGACTTTCAAAAACATTTAAAAAAATCTTACTGACCTCTAACTTTTGAACAGTAGCATACAGTTACGTAATTATAGTAATATGTGCAACAAGAACACTGGAAATAAAAAGTATTACAGAAAATTTTAATAAAATTAAATAGCTATTTAGTATTGTAGTACATGTTTTCACTGAGCCTTTTCGCGAAGTCATGTCCAAACTCATAGTTACATTTGCACAAGCCACTGGACTGTGAACTACGTAGTATGTGGTGAATTGTTTGATGTGTCGCAATCATCCACCCTAAGTGTTTTTTAAACACCTTTCATCCTCTAAGCGCTTGCCACGTCAAATATTAACTGCTAATATTTGTGTTGTAGAGGTCAGATTACTGTGAGTGTGTGGATGTGTGTATTTTTCACAGTACGTAATATAGCTTCTATTTCTGTTACGCTTTGCAATATTAAGTTCACTGAGGTGAGACAGAGAAAAGGAGAGATGTGTAGAGAAGATGTCACATTCGTCCTTGAGAAAGCAAAGAAAAGGACGTTTGTGTGTGTGCGTGTATTTGTGACGCTTTTTTGTTCTGTGTGATATCGCTCCAAACAGTTCCCCCTCCGTTCCCACTGCACTAAATAATGTGGAGTTTGTCCCTCTGCAGTGTACACACCTTCTTTCAAAAGGCCTTGCCTTAAATATTTATGGTTTTAATAAGTCCCTGGATGTTCTCTCTTTCAAGGCGTGACCATGGAAACTATTCCACCATAACAATAATGTCACCCAGGATCTCGGAGCCAAGTAAAGCAGAAGCACGTCTACGGAGCAGACGTAATATTCACACACTCGCATACAGCTGCACGTCAAGCATTACGTCAAGTGTGTTTAATGAACTAAATCGTTTGCATATGCATCCTGGCAGTGCCTCGCGGAGTGATAAATCACTGGGTCACTGGAGGGAACTGCAGGTCTGATAAAAATGCCAGGTCTATTGGTGTTTAATGAGTTTTGTAATTATGTAGGGCCAAACCTCTACCTCTTTCTTTTTGTTTTAATTGATCTGATGTATTGTTAAACTGAGACTCTCTCTGTGTGTTTGGAGGTGTCAGTTTCAGCAGTTAGCATTGTTTGTTTTAGAATGCTCATATTTCCCTTGTAAAAATAAGAAAATAAATAATACAGTGAAAAAGTAATATTGTGAAATATTATTACATTTTAAAATAAATGTATTCTATTTTCATGTATTTTAAAGTGCCCATATTGTGCCATTTCGAATATTGCCTTTCATGCAGTGTGTAATGTAGCTGTATGTGAATGTAAACGATCTGCAAAGTTGTAAATCCGAACGTACACGATAAAATTATTGTCTCCCAAAAAAAAGAATCAACTCAGCAGCCAAAGCGAGTCGTCAGTAATTCGAATCCGAACGATACTGAGCGTTCAAAATACGGAACCATTGCCATGGGCATATCGTTTCCGTCACGCGCTGTAGGCAGTAGACCAATCAGAACAGACTGGGTCATCTGACCAATCAGAGCAGAGTAGGCTCACGGAAAGAAGGGTTTTAGAGAGACTGAATTTTAGAATTGCTTCGAACAAATCGTTTGAGAATCGTTGGAAAAAGAGGTGATATTAAATGCATATTTTAGAAAACCAAAGCATTTTTTTTACCTTGAATGCATGTAAACATATTATAGGAGACTCCCAAAACAATGTTAGGAACCTTAAAAATGTCATAATGGGGGCACATTAAATTGCATTCCTGTGATGGCAAAGCTGAATTTTCAGCATCTTTACTCTAGTCTTCAGTGTCACATGATCCCTCAGAAATCATTCTAATATGCTGATTTGCTGCTCAAGAAAAAAATTCTTATTATCAATGTTGAAAACAGTTGTGCTGCTTAATGTTTTTATGGACACTGTAATAAATTCTTTCAGGATTCTTTGATGAATAGAAAGTCCAGAAGAACTGAATTGATTTTGTAACATTATGAATGTTGTTACTATCACTTTTGATTAAATAAATGCATCCTTTGAGCTGATGCATTTGATTCCAGTTTGTTTCAACCATGAAAACGAGTCAAATAACTGTTTTAAAGTTTGCACGTGTTTTTCTATGTTGATGTGACAGAATTTGAGCGGGTGAGAATGTGCAGTGTGGGTGTGTATGCTGCAGCTGGAATAGAGTGAGTATGAGCCTGTAAGAGTCATCATGTTTGTTTGCCTCTGATTTTCTCTGCAAATATGACCTCATATTTGCATGAGAGCACATGGTCCGATGTGTTTTGTTGACTCTACAGCTCCAAAAACATGTAATAGAGGAAGAAGGATCCATCTTCTCGTCTCCCTCATTCATTCTCCTCACACACAAACTGACAAATCTGCAGCAACTACATGATGCGATCATGTCGACATGCATCAAGAAGGTGTGCATCATCTTGTTAAATTCATGTCTTGTAAGATCTGGGCTGTTGGGGTCCACTGAGTGTGCATAGAAAATTACATGCACTCAAGATCAGCTTGTCATCCGTATAGTTGACTAGCTGTGTATTCTGATAAAATAATTCACAAACAATTGTTCATTTACTTCTTGTTGTCTCTGCATATATAAACTGAGGAAGGAAAACTGAAGCACTTCGGCTTTAAGGATCGTTTTTCGTCTGGTTGGAGTATCAGATTCTGATTGGACTGATTTGACAGTATCTTAGCAACGCTCTTCAAACATGTTAATATGCTTTACTGTGCATCAGCAGATAAACCTTTTCCCGGTTACCTTTATGTTTTCCCTGACCTTCTGCTCTCTCTCTTGTCTTACACACACACATACATAGCGCTTAAGTGCTGTGTGTGTGATGTGTACTAAATTACTGTTTTGCTGCTCTGAATGGGGTAAAATGGAATACGTTATTCTGTTTCTCTTAATTGCATATCAAAGGTGGACGAGCGAGAGCCGGAGAGAGAGAGAGAGAGAGAGATCTGATATCAAAGAAGTAAGATACCTCAATCTCTATGGAAGGAAGGAAGTGGAATAACTTCCTAATTTTTAGGCGAGGAAAAAAAAGGAAAGTGAAGATTAAAGCTACTGAAAATGTATCTGCCAAAGTGGAAAGTGTGTGTGTGTGTGTGTGAGAGAGAGCGAGAGAGAGCAAACATCTTCATGTATTTGTGCCTGGTTGTGGCTGTTTCTTCCCAAACACCCCCCTGCATAAACTGTCCCAATATTGTGTCATCTAGATGAGTCTCAGTGTGAGACATGGTCCTTTAAAACTTGGCAAAACATGAAATTGAAATCTGGTTGATTTATGTCAATAAATGAGTTTCACATTTGTGTTTTCACATTTTGTCAGTGAAACTGTGGCATTCAGAACTCAAACCTGGAATTAAAACTTAAAAATTAAAACCACAGATTAAAAACAGTTCAACAAACAAGCAATTTTTATAAAACGTAGCAGGTTTATTATAGTTAACTAAAACTAAGCTTAAACTAATAAGTACGTTTTTTTTTTTTTTTACTAAAACTAATAAGTAAAATGAAACTGAACTAAAAAAGAATAAAAACTATATAGACATATTTAGACATACAAAAATAATAATAATGACAAAGACACAATTAAAACTTCAACTAAAATGAAAAATATATAAA